GAAAAACCAGGAATCCTGACCGCGTAGACATTATGGGAGGTAAAAGACTATAAAAGATGGTTACGATAAAATAAATGAGTCATAAACTGGACATATAGTTGAGTGATTTTAATCTAACAGTTTTTTATACGTGGAAAAATCTCTAATCTTTATGTCCCATATGGTTAGCGTCAGGATTTGGGTGTTTCACCCAGGTGGCCCGGGTTTCAACTCCCCGTATGGGAACTTTGATGTGTCTGATAAATAAATTGTGCTGTTCGAGTTTGCAGATAAATACACCTTGCACATGATTGATGTGAATAAATCAGATTACAAATGCGAGCCTGCAACTGAATCACTTTCGCGAGACAACTGAGTTTCCAAACAATGTTTGAGCACTATCAAAACTTTTTTCAAGTTAGCTTCTGTCAACAGATCACTTGTTGTCCATTTGGGAAGTATTTAAGTTTCCCATACGGGAGTTGACCCCCGGGGGGGGGGGGGGGGGGGGGGGGGCGCCTGGGTGAAAACCAGGATTCCTGACCGCTAGACCATATGGGACATAAAGGCACATTTGGGGCAGCAAGGATGTTTGTGGGACTGAGTCTAAAAAACTTCAGAATCACTAGAATGATGACGCACCATCATCCAATTCACTGAGCTGGGAGCAGGGAGCGAACCCTGACGATGGAATCGGATCATCGGACACTGAGCTGCCATGTGTCTGAAAGGTGAATGGAAGTAAAATCTGCTGCTGCTTTGGAAGAAGCCTGACACTGAGTGAAACGTTGTGCTTATGTTTGAGCTCATGATGATGATGATGATGAATGGACATTCCTTTAAAATCAAGCTCCTGTGGTAGAACACAGTGGAAGCTTCCTGTATCTTCAAGAGATGTGGAGATTTTCCAAGTTGTGAAGCCATCGTAGTTTAATGTTTCCTTTGTGGGGTTGACTTTTAGGGAAACATTGGTTTGTTTGATGAGGAGGAAGTCTGAGAATAGCTTCAAACATTTGTGAAAAAGCACAAAAGTTTCCACAAAAAGCATCCAGCAATGAAGACTGACCTGCTGATTAATTTAAATATTACGACTGTACGCGGGTTAAAGACTGAACCAGGCTATTTTTTGGGGGGTTGCACTTTCATAGGGAACAGTCACATGAAGCGTTGATTCACATATCTCCTCCCTTTTCTGTAGAAACCTGGTAAGGAGGTTGTTGTTGGTGCTATAGCCGCGGTGTGCTAACGTCTCCTGCTGTAGTGGATCCAATAGCTGACTGTGTCGGACTGGGAGCTCCCAAAGTGAACAGCAGTCCAAGTACCAGAGGACAGTTTGAGGACAGAGGGAATAAAGACTGAGTGGTTTAATTGCGGGTTGGCCTTTTTCCTGGTATGCCTAATGCTAAGCGCACTAGCTAACAGCAGCTAAACATTAGTTGTTAGCTTCTTCTGGCAATAAGTCCCATATGGAAGCCTAACTTCACTGTCTTGTCATCAAACTGTCTCCGTCCTGTCTCGTTGCGACACTAATGTGTGAACGGAGTCGAGGGAGAGCAGCCGGAGGACATCAAGAGGGAAAAACCAGACAATAAATTCCTTCTCCTAAAATCGTGATCCAGTTTTCACCCAAATCACTGGATAAAGTTGGGTTTGTACCGACGATAAAAGTTTGTTGGTTGCACGGTTGCATTTTTATTTTAGAAAAGTACAGTGTGCAGTGTGTTGCAGTGGTGTTACAGTGTGTGCAGTGTGTGTGTTAGCAGTGTGTGTGTTACAGTGTGTACAGTGGTGCAGTGTGTGTGTTCGAGTTGTACAGTGTGTGGTTACAGTGTGTTGGCAGTGTGTGTGTGTTGCCAGTGTGTGTGTTACAGTGTGTTACAGTGTATGCAGTGTGTGTGGTTGAGTGGTGTGCAGTGTGTGTGTTACATGTTTGCAGTGTGTGTGTTTGCGTGTGTGCAAAGTGTGTGTGTTGCAGTGTGTGTTGTTATCCTGTTCCACGGTGTCAGTGTGGTAGCAGTGTTTTCAGGCGTCAAGCGTTGGGAGAAGAAGCGTCCGATCAGCAGCAAAGAGCGAGCAGCAGGTCAGACACACCCTGAAGCAGGAACAGAAGGCTGCAGCTACACACAGACATCACGAGTGAGTGTGCAGTGTGGACTAATATAACATATATATATTATTAAATATATATTACAGTTCTTTCTCTGGTAACCCGAACTCCTGTCAGTGGACAGTGGACTGATTGATTTAATTGGATCTGATGGTTTCAGTTATATTAGTATAACCAGCCCATTAAAGATGGCGCCTCCCCTTCCCACTGTACAGAAACTGAAGACCGTCGGCGTGATGAGATCGCGCAAAGAATAAACACAAAGTAAAGAAACCGACGACCTCTTGCGTGCGGCTTGAGTCCGGTAACATCACGCAGACGATGATGGAGGCCGAAACCCCAGAAGCTGTAAACATCATCAAGAACTGCGTTAGAAACAACGTACAGGTAAATATTTATCATGAATAAATATGTTCATCTAATATAACAAACTTAACAAAATCAAAATGTCCCTTCAGAGAAAAGCTGCAAGAATTAAAGACCAAGAATAAAAAAGAGGTGACGAAGGACGTTAATCATTTATTTCGTTGACTGCAACTTTTCCCTCTTCTCATTGTCTTGAGTGCTGTGACCTTTGGAACCTCCTTTCTGTTTATTCGTTTGCAGGTAAGATGACCGCAAGAAATGGAGGCGTAATGTGCTGAGGGGAACGAGAAATCTTTTCAGCTCTTTTAATCTTTTTCCCATTTAAATAATTCTCAATTAAATAACATTTTATTGTTAAAAGAGTGGCCCGGGTTCAACTCCCAGTATGGGAACTTCTTAATCCTTCCAAACCTATGAATAATCACAGTGACGTATAAGAATACCTGATGATAATAGATTGGTTTGTTGCTCAATATGTTAGATAGTCAGTAGTGCTATGCACAGGTTTTCCCATTGTAACGCAGCATATCGACTTGGAACAGTTGTCCTTCTATATATATTTAATGAACTGAAAGCAATAATTGCCAGATACATTAAAGTTCCCATACCGGGAGTTGAA